CTCTTTATCCATCTTCCTTTCTGTCTCCTATGGGTTCTGCTTCTCTGGAAAATCTTGACTAATACATAGTTATACCCCAATTATAGAGTCAACCCCACAACCTGTCAACATCCATTCCAGAGCTAAGCCTGTTTCGTTGCACCGGCTCCCAAATCACCTAATCCAAATCCAAATCCAAATCCTGTAATAAGCACTGTCTAACCTTCTCTAATTAAAGAAAGCACTAAATAATGATTCTCAAAATAATGTGTCATAATAAATACCATGTACATCCACCAAAGTAAATGACATTAAAACATCTAGATGTTGATGCAGTATTGCAATGATGTTTGAATTTCTGGAAGCTATTTTTCTACTTTGGGAAAAGGTAAGGGTTTTGGACTGAACTTGTAGATTTCCTATAGGCCACTATGCCTGCTCTGTGCTACACATCAGACATCCTATAAAAAGAGAATGCTCATTTTTGCCTGCTACTCATTACCTTAGTACTAACCCCTTGCCTTAACCCATCTCTCAAACATTCTGCCTTCCACCCTTGCAGTTTCCCTTTGCTTCATCATCCCTTGTAATTCTAGCATTTTATTAATTTATTTGAAATTCCAGCAATTAATGCATAATATTGGTTTCCTGCCTTTGGTTTGGGGATGATCCCATTTATGTGGGGTCTCCCCCCGGTTATACTGCTCTAACCAAACTTGGGCAAATGACCTTCCCAGAGGTTGAATGGCTCTGAGCTTCCTGTTAATGATAACAAAATCACTAAAGTTTGCTGAGCACTTCCTCTGGTCCAGGAACTGTGCTCATAAGTTATTTGCACATAAATTTATTATTTTTTTAAAATAAATTTATTTATTTATTTATTTTTGGCTGTGTTGGGTCTTCGTTGCTGCATGCAGGCTTTCTCTAGTTACAGCAAGTGGGGGCTGTGCTTTGTTGCAGTGCGCGGACTTCTCATGGTGGTGGCTTCTCTTGTTGTGGAGCACAGGCTCTAGGCGCGTGGGCTTCAGTAGTTGTGGTACATGGGCTTAGTTGCTCCGCAGCATGTGGGATCTTCCCAGACCGGGGCTTGAAACCATCTCCCCTGCATCAGCAGGCGGATTCTTAACCACTGCACCACCAGGGAAGTCCGGCACTGCAACAAAGCAAATTTATGAGTTCTAGAGATTATCTTAATCCTGGCAACAATCCCAGGAAGTTGATATATTATCAAGGACATTGTTACAGATAAGGAAACTGAGGCTCAGAGAGGTTAGACCACTTGCCCAAGGCCACACAGGATCCACTGTGCTGAAGCTGGGCTTCAGATTTTTCTGGCTCCAAAACTTGTGCCTTAATCATAATGCTGTGCCACTCTGCAGGCAGGATCTGGACAGTTCTTAGTGAATTATTTCAACTGTAGGCTTAAAGCAACAAGATTAAAGAGATGTATCAGACAAGGATGGTCAGGGGAGCTGAGCCACCATGAGTGGTGCAGCGTAAGGGACATATTGTAGGAATCAGACCTTCCACAATTGTGAGAGGAGCTGGGGAGGTGAGGACCAGAGGAATCACCGACCAGTTGATCTGAGAAGTCGGGAACATCCAGTTGCTAACAGAGGGCCGTGAGGGAGAGCTTGTACAGTTGTGTGTGGCCCCCGCCTCTGTGAATCAGCAGGTAAGCTGGTGGGGCTGGGGCTGCTGTTGTTCAGCAGGGCCAGCAGGTGGGAAGAAGAGCTGGATGTAGAGCAAAGGAGAATGAGGATGTACCTGAACCCATTAGGCATCTTTGTGACCATCCATCACTGCATGTGACTGTGATATCCTTCGGAGAACAGAACAGCGGCTGCTGCTTCCCATCCGCTTTCCCAGTCTCATTCATGTTCCTGTGTTGGCCAGCTCTATCCTGGAACCGTGCAGGGATGGGGATTCTGGGAGACATAGCTCCCACAGTAACCAGGTAGCACAGCATAACACAGAGGTTATTCAAGGAGGTCAACAGAAGACAAGGATTGGATGTGTAGCCAAGGGCCTTGTGATGGTTAATTTTATGTGTCAATTTGATGGGGCCCAGATATTTGGCAAAAGATTATTCTGGGTGTGTCTGTGTGGGTGTTTTTGCATGTGATTAGCATTTGAATGAGTACACTGAGTAAAAGTAGACTGCCCTCATCCAGAGAGTTGAAGATCTGCCTGACTTGAGCTGGGACACCAGTCTTTTCCTGTCTTCAGACATTGAAACATCAGCTCTTTTTGTGTCTCGAGCTTGCTGGCTCTTGGACTGGAACTCACACCATTGGCTCTTGAGCTGGAACTTCAGACTTGGACTGAAACTACACCATCGCTGTTGACTTTCCTGGGTCTCCAGCTTGCCAACTGCACATCTTAGGACTTCTCAGCCTCCATAATTGTGTGAACCAGTTTCTTAGAGTACATCTCTTTCTCTCTATATGTACATTCTGTTGGTTCTGTTTCTCTGGAGAACCTGGACTAATGCAGGTCTAGATTTCCCTCTCCAAGTGAAAAATCTACTGAAGTCCTGGGAAGAACTTGTGTACTGTTGGTTTGGAGTTAAGAGCTAAAAGGTCAAAGTATTCTTGTGTGAAAGCTTGCTGGTAGTTTAGTAATTTGGATAAAGGATCTTTTAAATGGATGGAATTTTCCTTGCAGAACACGCTAATGGCTTTGGAAGTTTGAGGCAGCGTCTCTTCGCTTCTTTAGAGCGTTGAGTGACTGCTGAAGCTTGATGCTGACTTGGGGATTGGTTTTCCTCCCTGTTCTTTCTGTGTAGAGAGAGGTCAGACCCAGCACTCTTTTGGTGATGTTATCTTATCAACAAACTTTATCAGGAAACTTAAAAAAAGAATCCTTGCTTTAAAACCATGCTATTTCTGTTTTACTGTCACTCTGCTAAATCCCCAAATCACAGTCTTTGAGAACTGGAGGAAATTGTGGAGATAATCTGGCCTGATTTTTCCCAAATTATGTTCCATAAAACATATATTCCTAGATGTTCATAGGTGGTCCTTGAAAAAAGGAATTCAATGACCAAGTAGGTTTGAAAAGACTGCATACATTCTTTCCCTTTTGGAGAATCCAAATGCACTTTAATAAAGTTTGAGATGCCTCTTAGACTTGAAATGGATGTACCAAGTAGGCAGTTGTTTATATCTCTATATATAGACCCTACATATTTTATTTTGTAAACACAGGAGAGAAGATTATAAACACATTGTTCAGTACCTTGAATCTTCCACTTGGTGATGTATTGTTCGTATCAGAGCACATTGGTCTCATTCTTTTTGATGGCTGCGTCGTATTCTACAGTGGATTCCCCACTGATGGACAGGCTCTTGTGAATACAAATGATGTTGCAGTGAACGTCCTTCTACATGGGACTTCAGGCACCTGAGCCAGTACATCTGTCAGAAACAGTAGTGCTTTCTTTTCCAAGAGATATCGAAGCTCAGTTCTGGTTTCCACCAGACTTCCCAGGCGTGGCCCACCTTGGCCACCTCCTCTTTCTCTCCACTCCTTAAATACCTACAATATGCCCACTGACATACTCAAAGGCCACCAATGACCCCCTTCCTTAGTGCACCACCTTTGACTTTTCTGCAGAATTTGACCCTACTTCCTATCCTTTCCTGAAGCTCTCCTCGCTTGGCTGATAGGAGGGGTAATCTTTGTCCTCGCCTATCTCTCATCATGCTTTTCCTGTGTCCTTTCCTGTCTCCCAAAGGTCACCATTTGGCAGGAGCGTGAGGGCGTGGGACCTGCTGGGCCAGCCCTTTCAGCTCCTGGTTGTCCCACCCAGGGTGTCACACCCCTTGACCTCACTGCCTGGACCCTAGAGGAATGTAAGATTTTGATTTATTTCTCAGTATGGTTAGAAACAAACGCGTAAAAAGGAAAATGCACTTCCCTATATATATATCTATTTATCTGTCTATCTATCCCTCCATCCACCTACAGAAATCCTCCCAGTAGCTGGTCAAATAGAACACATTGGCAATAGCACAGAGAACTCTACTCAATACTCTGTAATAACCTTTATGGGAAAAGAATCTGAAAAAGAATAGATACAAGTATATGTATAACCAAATCACTTTGCTGTACACCTGAAACCAGCACAACACTGTAAATCAACTATACTGTAATATAAAATAAAATTAAAATTAAAAAAAACCACACTGGCAGTCCTGTTTGCAAATTCTGTGTGATACACCAAAATACTAACAGTGATTATTTCTGGATGCTATGATTGTGGATAATTTTTCTACATGCTCAACTGTTTTTTTTCTAAAATTTCAACAATGGAACATAGATATTAATAATATATTAATATTCATATATTATCATTATGTCCCAAACCTATCTTCCCCCCAACCCTCTTGCCAATTTAACTTTTACCCTAGAAATTCCTATTTGTCAGAATTCTGGGATTCTTCCTAGGTTTAAAACCCGGTAGGCATGCTTCGTATTCCTTCCCTGTCACATTCTATCTTCCTACTACACTTTGTGGTTATTCCAGTGAATTTCTATCTCCTCTGTTAGATTTTTAGTTCTTAAGGGACACAGACCTTGTCTTATCTCTCTCCCTGGGGCCCATCACACAGCACAGCTCACAAACAGATGCTCCCAAAATGGTTACTGAACCTTCTGCTTGATGCCTCAGGCTTGTCGACATCCTGCAACTGTCACCTGCCTGAGAAATTTCCTCTATAAATAAGCAGTTTCTGTTTCAGGTATAAACCATAGCCCTTGCTACATACGCCCCATCTCTTACCCCACTCAGGCCTCAAACTTAGAAACTGGAATTAGTGTTGGTATTCAAATCCTTAGCCATGGTACAAAGAGTCAGCCCCCATAAGAACCAAGTCATTGATGTGAAGTTCTTTTTTTCCCTCCACATTCTAGCAGCTGTCATTACATTTGCTGGGGAATTCTCGACGAGATTTTACTTGTCCTCCCATGCTGTTCTTTCTGTGGTTTCCTTGTTTCTTTTTGCGATCCGGTTCCAGATGGCTCAACAGTGCTTCCAAAATGAATATTTTGACAGATTGCTGAATGCTTGCAAACCGTGTCACCTTCGATGCCCTAATACCCCTCCTCTAATATGTCAGCGTTATTGTAATACAAGTAAGTAATACTGCTCGAACAATTCTTCATTGGTGTGAAGTCTTCTCTCTGTATTGACTTTATTCAAAGAAGAAATATTACGGGGAAGGTGGTGATATTTTCTGGATCAAAAAGAGGAAGAAAATTAGGCAATCATTTAAATGCCAACAGGAACGAACAATTATTCAGAACTGAACTCAATTTTATTCTGCAATCTTAACAACAGAGATTTTTTTATCAGCTCTCCTAATTAAGTATGGTTTAGAATTTAAAAGTCAATGCTGAGGAATGAGGGGAATTGGACGGCAAATAATCTTTACTTGATGTGGTTATGATGTTATTAGTTCATTATCTCTCTGACATTCTTTTAATTCAGTGAAAGGAACAAATGCAATTCTCTGGACCTGTTTGGGCCTCAGCTTGATCGTTTCTTTGACAGTTTTCGTGTTGATGTTCTTGCTCAGGAAGATGAGCTCCGAGCCATTAAAGGACGAATTTAAAAACACAGGTTGGTTTGATGGTTGATCTTTGAAATCTGTTTCCAAGAGGTGGCTATGGTGAATTTCAGTTCCTTTTCCTTTTTCATGTTGAGTATCTCATCTGGTAAGGGCCCTTTTGAGTGTGTTAGATGACAGGTTAAATGAACTCTTGGAAGAAGCGAGCTTTCTTTTCGACTTTTACACCTTCTTTGCTGATGTCCTACAATGTCAGCCTTCCCCAACATTTTTTCTAATTACTCTTTGGAAGTACTGAGGCTTCCTTGGGAAACATCCATCTCTTTGACAAAGTTAGCACATTGATTAAACGTCATGCTATCAGAAACAGCTAGCCAGGTTTGGTACTATTGGGAAAAGTATATTTGGCAAGATCCGTGGCCATATTTTCATACAAATATAAGTGTTGCTTGCTTGGGTGAACATTTTACTGCGAAAAATGCTAGAAATGAATACCAGTTGCTCCTGGATTATTTAAGCAATCATCTTAAAGATTTTTATCTTTATTAAGCAGGAGAGAACCAGTCCCAGAGAAGTGGATGTTTTACTTAAAGGCTTTGTAAGATAAAAATATTTCAGCACCTTTGACCATGATCTAATTCCCGAACACTCTGCAGCCATTGCCCTATTTCTTTATGCATGTATTTTCCATGCATAATCTGTAAAGCGTCCACCTCATTTGCTTTTTAGTGCAGTAAAGGGAGGGAGATGGCTGTTCCATACGATTTACTCATTTCTCGTTTTTTGCCTGGGGTCTGAGAGACAGGTGGGGAGTGACTTTAGTGTGACGTTCTGGAAGATGGAGTTACACTGCAGAAGGTTGAGGAGGTAGTAAACGTGCCTTCATAGACGTATGTGGGGACGTAGTGGAGACTCCTTCCTTCTGTGATCATGACAGATTCATTTAAAAAAAAAAGTAATCTGCCACAAAATGTTCTGTAAGAGAAGCATCTTTACTGTGAATTCTAGAGTGTCACCCAAGACTGATTTTGGTGTGCTGTAACATATGGTAATTTGTCATTTCACATGTGTAAAAAGGCTCAGTACCTTAGTGCATCCAAGGGCCAAGTGGGTGAGAAATGAATTTAGTGGGCTGCTTGAGGCTTCGGCGATAGGGGAGCCCATGCCCTGCTTGAAGGAGACAGGTGCTATTGACTCCCAATTGTTTCCGTGTAGGAATGTTGGCTCCTAGTGGCCACATTTTGTTTTCTTAAAAAAAAAAAAAAAAAAAAGGGGCCAGTTGTCTAGATTTGTATGTAAAGTCTCTTGCTTTTCAAATGTGGGCCAATGTAAAACAGACAAGCAAACACTTAAAAACACTGTACGCCCTAAACCAAGCATGTCTTTGAACCCAATATGGCCCATGGTCTGTCAGTTCATGACTTCTAGTGTAGGACCCACTTATTTGTTCTGTGGGAAGAGACACATCTCACGTTGCTTTGATCCCGGATGTGTGCTGCTAAGTCTGGCACAGCCATGCGCCCTGAAAAGTTTAGGTTAATGGTTCTGTTTCTGCATAATCAGGACCGGCTCTCCAGAAGGATGCGAATGCAGACCTGTATGAGAGCGACGATGGCGGGACTGGTGCGGAAACTCTTCTTTCGAGAGGCCTCGGGTACACGGTGGAAGAATGTACGTGTGAAGACTGTGTCAGGAGCAAACCAAAGGTCGATTCTGACCATTTCTTTCCACTCCCAGCCATGGAGGAAGGTGCAACCATTCTTGTCACCACGAAAACAAACGACTACTGCAACAGCCTGCTAGCTGCCTCGAGTGTCACGGGGATGGAGAAATCAATTTTCCCAGCTAATTAACCATTTCGATGGTATAGAGCTACTTGGAAAATCTTTTGTCAGAAGAAAAGGATGATGTATCAGATCTTTTTAGGATGATTGTACTTATCAGTGGATGATATGGCTTTTTGTTCTCTAATTCTGGAAAATCTTTGTTAGATATATTTTTCTACCTTACTGTTGGGAGCTTAGCTGTGGAAACTTCCTTGGTTTCATGATTAAATTGACTCACTGAAAAAAAAAAAGCACTGTAATGTGTAGATTCCATAGTCACACATTTCTGTGGCTAGACCACTTCTCTCCTATACATGTACACATACATTTCAGGACAGACTGGATTTCTTTTTATTGTTAAAGGAAAGCAAGGTTATCCTATGTACTTTCTATCTACAGGAGAAGCCTAGAGCCAGCCACACTAATTCAGTGTGCAGTGCATGGCCAGTTCCTGACCTTGTGAGCTTTCAGCTTCACGGAGGCATCAGGCATTATTACAATCATATAAATAAACGTGTAGTTGCAAACTGTGATAAATGGGTACTAGGTATCGTTTTTGCACCTACACGCAGGTAATAATAATGATAGCTAGCACTTATTTACCCTTACTAATGTGCTAGGGGTTGTTCCAAGTGCTTTACCTGTACTAACTCATTTAATATATACAACAAACCACAAGGTAGGTGGATCATTATTATCTGCATGTTACAGATGATGACAGAAACTGAATCAGAGCAAGGTCACATAGCCGGTAAATGGCAGGGCCAGATTTAAACCCAGACATTCTGATCTATTCCCTTTTTTCTCTTCATATCAATTGAATTCCATTTCTGAGTTTCCTCATCTCTTTGGGCTACAATCTTAGTCATTATTGGGAGAGGGCTGCCTTCCTTGGGTTGTGCAAAGGTCCTGAGCTGCTATGGAAAGGGCTGTGCAATAGGCAGTGCCCTCTGGTAATCTGTTGACTTTGATCATTGTTAAGATGCCCACTGGCACCACAGCAGAGACCCTCAAGGTCTTGGGGCTTTGTGGCTTTTGTATCAGGTTTGGGGTATGGAGAAACTTGGTGGGAACTTTTTAACCACTCAGGGCCCATTATGGCTCCATTCCAGGCCTTTGAGGGCCATAGGAGACAACACAGTATAGTGGTGAAGGCACTGGCTCTTGGAGTTTGACTCCAGGTTCTGTTACTAGGAAGTTATAGACATTGGGTGACTGTGAGAGTTACTTAACCACTCTATGCCTCCGTTTCCCCATCTGTAAAATGGGGATAATAATAGTATTTATAACGTTGTTTTAAGGATTAAATGAAAATATACACACACATACATTTATTATTTATTCCCATGAAAAGTTTCTGGTTCATGTTAAGTACTTTGTGTTAGTTACGTTGCCATCATGGTTTTTATTAGTGCTTTGAGGTCTAGTCTCTTTGAGGGCAGGCACACACTCCTTTTCTGTTATATGGCCTGGGAATGTTCCTCCTAGTTTCTCACAAGCCTTCTTCCTTCTCCTCTCACTCCACACAATAAGCTTAGATTTTTTCAAAAGCCCAGAAGAGCTGCTGACCTTAGGCTTTTGATTCTTGGTCCTCCAGGACCAGGCTAAATCTCGGGAGGAAGGAATTACAATACTTAAAGGAGGGTGGCTGGTAGTGGAAAATGTAAAGCACCCTCTACAAGTTCAATAACCTATCCCATCTCAAGTGCCATGAAGAAAGGGTACAGGGTGCTAGGAGAAGGTATAACACGTATCCTTATGACAATTCCATGAAGCAAGTATGTGATGTCTCACCAAAAGTTACAGAGGCAGACAGACCTAAACTAGGCTTTCTGCGGGGGAGAGGAGGGATTCAGACACACTGACTCTTTAACTAGAATAACAAATTAGCAAAAACTACAAAGTACAATTTTGAAAATGGGGAAAACAACCCCACCAACCAAACACACAAGTATTTTCATTTTTACATTCTATCATAGTCCCTGCACATGGCTGTATTTTGACTTTGACACAGTTGTAATCATGGTGTACAGACCATTTTGCATGGGGCTTTTTTTTTTTTTTTGCCAAACCGTGTGGCATGTGGGATCTTATCAGTTCCCTGACCAGGGATCAAACCCATGCTCTATGCAGTGGAAGCATGTAGGCTTAACCACTGGACCACGGGGGAGTTCCCTGCATGGGGCTTTTAAAAACTTATTCTATTATCACTGGCCTTTCCTTGCATTTCCATAACCTTTATAATTAGCACTTTAAACTACGAGATTCTTTGTGAGGTGGGCCATGATTTGCTTAGCTATTCTTCTGTAACCTGGCTTTGGTGCTTTTCACTTTTTCTCTATTATAAATAATGCTGCAGAGCATCTTTCTCCAAAGATCTCTTCATCTCTGCTGCATCCAAAAGGTAAATTTCCAGGGGCCAGAGAGTATGTGTTGAGAGGCAATGTAGTAGGAAGACCATGGGGATGTGGGTCACGCAGAACTCGGCTGGAATTCTGGCTCCATTTCCCCGTGGGGGCCTCAATTCAGTGTTTTGTGGATCAAGACTTAGGAGTGGATCAATCATCTCAGTCAGCATTGAAAAAAAGAAAAGGTGAAGAGAATACATTACCTACAGAATTGTTTTGTTAAACAGCTTCTTAAATGTATGTATTTGCATACTGGGTTGTGGTATAAAATGCATTTTCTTTTACTCTGGGTTGTGGGCAAAACAAGTTGGGAAAACATTCCTTTAACCTTTCTGAGTCCCCTTTCCCTTATCTGTAAAATGGGGCAGTAACTTGACCTTCTTTCAAACAGGACCCATCTACGTTCACACCCTGCCACCACCCTAGCCCCAGGCACTAGTATCTCTCGCCAGACAATTGCAGTGGCCCCCTAACCAGCTGACCCTTCTCCACCCTGCCCCACTACAATTCATTCTCAACCCAGGAAGAGGAATCACCTTAAAATTCACATTGCATCACTCCCCTACTTAAATTCTTGTAATGATTTCGCATTCCCTTATCTCCTTAGAGTTAGGCGGGAAAGTCCAACCCATTCACCATGGCCTGCAGGGCCCTCCACCCACCTCTTCAATCTCCTCTCTCACACCCCTTTCTCGCTCACCTTTTCACTCCAGTCAACCCCTCCTTCTGGAACACCCTTCCCGTCGATCTTCCCGGGCCGTCTCCCTCTTACCACCCAGGTCTCTAAAGTCGTCTCCAGAGAGTGGCCCCCCGGGACTGCCCACTTCCCCTGTCCCCACGCTTTGGCCCATTCCTCTTTAAATTTCCCCGTTCCGCTTCTAGTACTCTCTGGAACCGCGTTGTCTCATTTCTCGTGGCCACCGTCCCGTCTGGCTCCCCGACAGAGGTGTGAGCCCAGGATGGCGGGGAGGCGTCCCGTCCGGTCCCCGCCTTGCGGATCGCGAGGCGTCGCTGCGGGGGGTCTCCGGTCTGCCTCGGGCGCCCAGCAGCCTCGGCGCGGCTAGCATCGCCCCAACTCTGCCGCCCGGCGCGGGTGTTTACGTTCCGGGTTGGGGGGCGGGGCCGCGCCGGCTGGGCTGTACTTCCGGGGCGGGGCGGCAGGCGGGGCGGGGTGCGCCGGCGCCTGGCCTGTCTGGAGGGCGGCAGCGGCAGTGGCGGCAGTGGTGGCGGCACGGCAGGCACCGACCCGGGGAGCGGCACCATGAGCGGTGAGTGGAGGCCTGGCCGCTGTCACCTGCCCCAGCCGCCCCGGCTCCTGCCGCACCAGCTGCACACTCCGGCCCCCGAGTCCCCGCGTCCCGCTCGCTCGCGGACCCCGTCCCATCGCTCCCAGTTTCCTGACCCCCATGTACGCCCAGTTCCTGGCTTCTGGTCACCTGCACTTTTCTGGCGTCCCCGGTCCAGGCACTCCTAGTCCCTTGACTCCTGTCCATCACTTACAACCAGCTCCTGGACACCTGTCCCCCAGATCCCCCAGTCCCTCCCAATCCTCCGACCCCCCTAGTCCAGTTACCGACCTCCAGTTCTCAGACCTCCTGTGTCTCAGTCCCTCCTAACTCCTAGACTCCCTGAGTCCCAATTCCAGTTACTGGTCCCCCTGCTCCCCAGTCATTCCCACTTCCCAGGCTCCTGGCCCTAGCCACTCCGATCTACGCACAGGCAAAGAGTGTCTCATTCTTAGTTTGCTGCCCCCTGAGCCTTGTGTCCCCTGCTAGCTCTCGGTTTCAGAGGACGCTTGGTGCTCCTCATTTTCCCTCTCTGGTTCTGCTTCTTGTATTTTGGTTATTTTTTCATACTCCAGCTCCTTCCATTTCTTTTCCTAGCTCATTTGAGGTCTCCCTAGTCTTGCCCGGCAGCCCTCCCCTCTTGTCCAATGCTGAGCTCATTTGGGGACCTCTGCCCTTCCCAGTCCGACCTTGTCCCTCCCACTGGGGAGTGGGGTGGTTTTGGTGGGAGGCTTGAGTTATGTGTGGACAGCTTGCCTTCAGTGTTTCTGAAGTTTAGTCCCTAGACTTGGACGCGTGTTCTCAGCCCTTTCCACTCATGAGGTCCGTTGGTGTTTTGGTGCTAAGTCATTCCTGGGTGTAGTATGTAGAGATGGGAGTGACTCAGGGAAGCCTCGCAGCTGCCCTGACTGGGATCTGGATTTACTCAGGAAGACCCGCCTACCCTCCTTCTGCCTGTTTTCCCCTCACTGTGAAATAGCCTCTACAGAATCCTTGCAACCAACCCAGCTGGCCCTGGCCTTGGACTCAGGCATTTCTGGAGGTCGAGGCAGGGCAAGGTGAAGGCCATGTGTCTCTCTTCATCTTTAACTTTTAAGTTAACTCTGTGGATCATTTTCCATAACTTAGGTGCCTTTTGTTTTGCTATTCATAAGCAAGATTTGTGAAATTGATTGTCCTAATGCGGGAGCTGGGGAGGGGGGTTTTCCTGGGAGATAGTCCAGCTTCAGTTGTCAGATGATTTTTGGCCTCACTAGAGTTTCTGGTCCTTGAACATTAGTGATACCACAACAAAGATGCAATGAACTGGTTTCCACCCAGGAGGTAATACAGC